ACCACTAGGTGTATTACAATCCTTATACTTTATGAGAATAGAGTCAGTAGAACGAGGCCAGAGGGAAACGAAAATAAAGTTGTAACACAAAAATAAAAACATTACGATAGTATAATCTGAGATTAAAGGTATCTATCAGCAGATTTGCCCCATTCAACATGGCGGCCGCTCTGACTCATCACTATGAATGAATGAAAAAAGCTGTGGAAACGCGTTAGAAGACGAGCAGCAAGCTTCTCACCATCAGCCGCCTCTCCGGACTCGTTACCACGGCAGCGACCGTCTCAGCCAGCGGAGTGAGGAGCGACATGGAGGAGATGTTTAAAGCATCTTCCTCCTCCTCATCCTCCTCCTCCAGGACTCCATCAAACAGCTCGTTGATGACAGCAGAGTTAATGGACTGGTCCACGCTCACCTCCTGCTCCTCGACCTCCTGCGTCCTCCCCGCTAGGCTCACGGGGCTGGAGGTGGAGGCTGGGGGGGTCCGTCCCACCCCAGGAAAGGCTGTGGGATAAACAGAGGTCATCAGGTTCTCCTCTTCTCTTTGCTCTCATCTTCCTTCGTTTAATCACCACAGAAGAAGAAACCAGCGGCCATCAGCTGCAGGTTTGCTGCTCGTTTAGTCAGAAAGATTTTATTCTAGTTTCATTTCTGAGCAGAAGCTCCTGTTGGTTGAGAAGCAGGAGTTAAAGGAGAAAACGGAAACATTAAAGGTTTCCATCGGATCAGGAACAGCAACTATTCCTCCTCAACCAATGATCTCAGATCTGTTTCACTCTGAATCAGGAAGTTAGTCGCTGGGTTTGCTCTGAAACAGGAAATGTAACGGAGCGTCTTCCTGTGCTGCACAGAGATCCGTACCTGGAGGATGGCGACTGGAGGGCGTGCTGGGCTCCTCCCGGGGCTTCTCGCTGCTGAGCTCCTCCTCCAGTGGTGGTGCTGTGGGCTCATCCTGTACCTGCAAAGCAGAGCATCCGTTAGACCCCGCCCACTGGCAGAGCTGACCAATGAGGCTCCATGTCGCTTTGACTCACTGCGGGACTACTTCAAAAAAAAAAAAAAAAGGTTTTTATTCTCATATTTTTCAGATATTCGTTTCTAATCTATTTCCAGATCATTTCTGTTTCTGCTGGACTGAGGAGAGAAGAGTTTCTATTGGTCAGCAGTGACTGGATCTGGATGGCAGTTTAGAGCTACTTGAAAAACAAAATAAAAAATGTAAAATCTTCAAAAATAAAAAAGGAAAAAGCAAAGTTACTTTAAAAACTCAAACAACTTTTTCAAAGTTTAATTTCTAAATTGCACTTTTTTTTATTTCCATTTGCAAAAATTTAAAAGAATTTCCAAACACAAGAAGAACCCATCGTCAAAAACCAACCTTGTCGCCTGCATCGCTCCTGCCTGCCCGCTGGGCCTCGTCGGCCCTGGCCGCCGCCCGCTGGGCCTCGTCGGCCCTGGCCGCCTGTTGACCTTTGCCCTCCCAGACAGTCTTCCCCTTCTGGAATCGGCTGCGGATCAGAGCCAGCTCGGACTCGCGCTCCTGTAAGGAGGAGGAAGTCATCCATCGTTTCCAGCCTTGCTGGGACGCTGGGGGACGGTAAACCTACCAGCTTCTGCCTCTGGGTGAGCTCGGCGGTGGCAGTGTGAGCAGCCTGGGCGGCCCGCAGCCTCTCCTGGACCAGCTTGGTGTTGGGTGAGGCTGATGGAGTCCTCTGCTCTCGATGCTCCTGACATCGGTCCCCAAAGCGCTCCAGGAAAGATTTCACCCCTGGTTGGAGGGAAGAACATTTTTAGGCTTCACGATTAATCAGATTTATTGGCCAAGTTTCCTTGGATTGAATATAAACGGCTCAAAGAATAAAGGGAACCCTAAAATAACATCCTGGACAGGAATGAATGAAATATTATCTCTGAATACTTTGTTCTGTCTAAAGTTGAATGCACTGAAAACAGAAACAAAAATCCCTTTTACCCATCCCTGTGGGGACCAGTGGGCCGCCACTCTGCTGCGCCGGGGAGCAGTGGGCTGCCATTGTGCGGGGCCCAGGGAGCTGTGTGGGGTTAAGGGTCTTTCTCTGTGACCCAGAGTGACAGTCTGTGGGAGTGGGGCTCTAACTCAGAACCTCAGGATTTCAAGCTCTATGCCCTAACCACTATGCCGCTGCTCCCCTATTAGCCAATGGTGGTGTTCTCTAGTAAATGCCAGCGCCCTGCAGGGCGTTGTCCTCATACCATCCTCATGGAGTCGGTTTCTAACGGTCTGTGCTGACACATGCACATTAGTGGCCTGATGGAGGTCGTGTAGCAGGGCTCTGGCAATGCTCCTGCTCTTCCTTCTTCACAACACCTCACAGCTACAGCACAGCTCTCCTCAGCTGGCACTGATGGTCCATCCTGGAGGAGCTGCACGGCCTGAGCCACCTGTGTGGGCTGTAGTAAAGCTGACCTCAACATCACGGTAAAATTACCTCGCTATTGATAAATGCTATCAGAAATAAAGGCACGTGCAGGAAATACAACTGATCTATTTATAAGTTATTTAATGAATAAATTACTTTAGTTAAATATTAAAGTCTGGCATCCATTCAGGTTTAAACATTCTCATTGCTGCAGGTGATAAACGCGTTACTTTGGGTTCACCCAGTTTTCAGACTAACTTTGCTTTTCATCTTCTTTTGCTTAACATCTATGGTGTCATTTTGAACTGAGTGCAGTGACAACAGTCTGCATCGTTTAAACTCGCACACCTTCACTATAAACCGATCTGCTGCACGCTGAACTCTGACAACGAGCTCTCCACTTCTTCTCTGCTCGCTCAGCTTCATCTCAGCTCGACTCCACAGGATGAACTGATGTCATTTGGTTTGCAGCTGTTAGACGCTTCTTCACTGGACTCCTCTGCCATTCTCTTTATGTTTCTGACTGTATGGTTTGAGTCACGTGATTAGACACCTGCTGCAGTGTTTGAGGGGAAGCAAATACCAGCTACCATCTTTGACTGATAGGGAAATTGTTGTCAGTTACCGTAGTGAATGAAGGTAACGGTGAAACTCTGGTTTATCGCCCAGGTCTAGGCTGCAGAGTCCGTCTCATGCCACCATGAGTGTTAAAGAACCACAAACATTCAAAGTGAGCAAACATCAGCCAGAAAGCAGAGGGACTGATGAGTGGTCTGTGGTTCCAGAACCACTCCTTGCTAATTGGCAATAATTTCCACCTGTCGGATCTTCCATTTGATCAACAGGATGTGGAATTGATGGTCAACCAGTGTTGATTTTCCCACAGTTTGATTGAATTTATAGTTATTTACGGGTTGCCTTTAAGCAGCAGCTCACCTGGACCTCCAGCCGGGGTGGTTTCCTGACGGCCTGTTGAAGCAGAGCCGGTGGCTCCGTCACGGGGGCTGGCGCTGGGGGTTAGACCCCTGGGGAGAGGCGGAGTCTTCAGCGGACTGGATGGGAGGACGGCTCCCTGCTTGGAGCTCCTCAGGGCCGACTGATCGGCGGGCCTGGATGCAGGACTTTCAGCCTTCTGGGGGCTGGGAGGAACGGCCCGAGCAGACTTTACCGGAGAACCCAGAGTATCCTGAAAATAAGTACATCCAGCTGAGAGCGGATGGAGAGGGGTGGGCTCTTCTTCCTCCACCACAGAGTTTGTACAGTTCATTATAGTTAGCTCCACATTTAGTTGATTTCATTTAGATGTATATTTTCTAATGGGTGCACACTTTAGTTAAAATGTCTGTTTAAAATTATGTTAAAATGTTTTACACTTTTTCTTTTCTTAGATTCTGCAAACGCAGATCAGCTGGAGGTGGAAGCCAGGAACAAACCACCTTCCCAAAGAACTGAGAGGGATTTAAGTTGACTTCAGTTCATTTCATCATCTCAATATTTCCTTATTATGTGTGCCAAGTTAAAGATTTGTTTATGTTTTAGTTTAATTTGTTGTTTCTGTTATATTTTACTTCCCCCATGTGGCAGTCTTAGGTTATTGCAGCCTCCATTCTATTGGAATTTTTGGTAGAAGTGACAGTAATGTAGCAAAGGATTGTGGGAGATTTAAAAGGGGCCCTGCGATTCAGGACTGTTTAAAGCAACATGAAATAAAAAGTTAAGGCCAACTTGTGAAAAACTTCCATAGAGGAAGAAAAATAAACCCACAGAAATAACAGATTATTTTTAATCAACTACTGAACTGAATTTACAAACTTTAGTTTTGTTTCCATCAAAGCTCTGCTTTCATTGCAGGCGAACAAACATTATGCAGAGGTTTGCTGCTGCTGATGTGGGAGATGCTGATGATACCTGCAGGATTTTAAGGCTTCGCATGTCCAACTCCGCTGCCCTGATTCCCATCGTGCCTCATCTACATTCCCTGGTTCTAGTTTTAGCTGTGCACAAAACTCTAGGCTGGACAGCTTTATTTAAATGTAAACTTTGCCTGGTTGTTCAGATAAAAAGTTAGCGTTGCATCACCCCGCGGTCCGGCGGCAGCATCGTTTTTATTCTGCTATGGGAACAAATAACGATTACTGAGCCAGTCAGTAAAAAATTTTCAATGTTTGCTATGGATTACAAGAATAAAATAATATTTATGACTTCATAAAAACGTATGCAAGACTGACTGAAGATTTTTTTAAGACCTTAGTTTGATATTGAAGAATTTGATGCATTTTAAAACAATTTCAGGATCTGCAGGAACCCTGGCTAAAGCAGGAACCAACGTTAACTCTGTGGTCGGGTAGAAATATAAAATGACGGTAACTTTATCTCCTGGAAGTGGGTCATGTTCTTCAGAGGAAACGCCCATATTTTCTCCTTTGTATCGGGTGATGGGCGCATCGCTCACGGCTTCCTCAGGGCGTTTAGCAGCCATGCCTTCAGTGAAACAAGCGGTTCTGATTCCTTTCTCAGGTTTACGTACCGGCTTGGTGGAAGCAGGCCTGGCGGTAGCCATGGAAACACTCGGCGCCATGCTTTGCTTGGCCTCTGCGACTCTGGCGGGGAACCTGGGAGCAGCGGCGGCGTCAGGCTTGGCTTTGGGGATGTGGGCGTGGCTCAGGTCGTCCTCCCAGGATTCAATGGTGGCGGCCAGGTGGGCCAGTCGGCCCCTTCGCCCTGCAGGAGCCGAGGAAGCCGGCTGGACGTCAGCCGGCGCCTGTCGCTGAGTGGGGGGGGTGCTGTCTGGCACCACATCAGCAGGACCTGAATAAAGAGAGCGGCGGCTTTTAATCGGGAGAGGATGAAGGAAGCGAGGAGCCTCGGTCTGAGAATGATCACCTTCATCACCATCCCAGCATTTCCTCTGCGCTGCCAGCCTCTGCAGGCGGGACTTCATGCCAGCAGCAGAGGGAGCCGGATCCTCCTCTGCCCCGTTCCTCTGCGGGTCAGAACCAGGGGGTCCGGTCGCCGTCGCTCTAATAGTTGGAGGATCCTGTCGCTGAGCGGGGGCAGAGTTCTCCTGCGGAGCGGCGGGCCTCAGAGAGGACGAGGACCGGACCCTGGCAGGGCCCACAGGGGGCTTCTTATCCGTCAGAGGGTCCGATGGAGCGGGGGCCACAGCGAGGCTCGTTATTGGCTGCTGGTTCTCATCCGGTGCAGAGTTTTCCTCTGAGCACCTGCGTTTGGACGGGGAGGGCTTGGAGGAGATCTGAGGAGCTGGAGTGAGATCAGAGGATCAGAGGAGAGTTCAGCTAAACCAACATCATCATCATCATCATCAACACGCTCACCTTCATCAGCAGCGGGGTCGCCGACGGCGCTGTTGGACTCTGTCAGTGGCTCTCGAGGCCTTTTCACCATCTGTCTGTTTGCTGCATTGGGGCGCTCTGCCAGCTTCCTCTGGAGGTTCTCCCTGCGGGCCCGGGTCCGCTCCAACAGTTTCTGGTTTGACCCAACAGAACATCAAACATCTCTGACATCTCATCAGGTCTGTTCTTTAGAAAATCAGCCTCCAGGAAACCAGAGGAACTGTCAGATTAGTTAATTCTTGCTGAGTAACGTCACTCAGCCTGATTCAGGTCTGATTTTCAAAGAACAGCAACCTAACAGCCAATCACATTTAAAACGGTTTGGATGCAAAGAGAGGAGGAGGCTTTAGCTCTCCCTCCTCCCAGTCTGTCACATCATCTGATTCACTGAGCTCTACAGGCCCAGACACATTCCTGGGCTCTGCAGCAGGCCGCCATCTTGGCTGCAGCAGACAGAGCAGCTTCAGGAATGAGCCACGCCTGCCTGTCCGGACCGAGGAGCAGAACCAGGACTGAATAAACATCAGAGACTAACTGGATCTGACAAACTCAGCCTGAAGCAGGGCTTCCTTTAATCTCACTAGGCTCCAGTTTTCAGCTCAAAGCTGAAACTGATTTAAAAACTCCTCCATTTTACACTATGGATTCCTAGCAGAAAACAAGAATAAACTGAACTGGACTCGAACTTTAACGACCAATTCAGCTGCTAGCACTCATTAGGTTTTAGTTAGCATAACTCACCAGGTTTAAGTTAGCATTAGCAGCTAATATTAACAGTTTAACTCATCGGGTTTTAGTTAGCATTAGCAGCTAATATTAACAGTTTAACTCATCAGGTTTTAGTTAGCATTAGCAGCTAATATTAACAGTTTAATTCATCAGGTTTTAGTTAGCATTAGTAGCTAATTTTAACAGTTTGGCGGTTAGCCGGCTAAAGCTCCGTTCACGTTTTCCTCCCACCTCAGTAAACGGGTCCATGTCGGCCAGCTGGGATCCTCCTTGGGCGGTACTGGTTAAACTGGGACTGTACCAGTTCAAGCGATGTGAACAGAGATAAACTAGTGAAGCCAAACCAGAGGCGCCCTGTCTGAACTGCTGCCGTTCAAATTTTGAATTTCAGCGCTGCGCCCACTGCGCAGACTCAGAGCAGTGCGCGACAACCAATCAGAATCCACGGCACGGGCGTCATGCTCTGAGCAGCCAATCACAGGAAGGCAGTTTTACTGTTTGTGTGGAAAGAGGAATACTTTAGTGAAGAGTCATCAGCGCCTGAGAAACAGTGAAAAC